TGGCGGGTCCGGGCTGGGGATTCGAACCCGCCACCTTAGGTGTACGTGGCTGGCGCCTTAGCCGGTTGAGCTATAGGCGTCGAGCCGGAGACAGAGTTTTGCTCTAACTTAAGCTGGTCTTGGAACTCGTGAGCTCAGGCAATCCACCTGCCTCAGCCTGCCAGAGGCTAGGATTACAGGAATGAGCCACCATGCCTATTTTGAAATTTCTTTTTAAAGAAATTTTAAAAAATATTGATATATTAATACAAAATCCCATTCATATTTCACAATTTATTTCAACAATATATTTTTCAAGAAGAGTAAAGGAAGACTACTAGATTTCCTAAACATAATTTTAACCGTTAGGACATTTCAATGGTTATTTATAAAAATTAAAAGTTGATGGGTTTTGGATCTGTTTTGGTTAATAAAGTTTATACCAATGGTAACAACAAAGTATTTGAAGAAATTATTCTTTAAAACTTTTGCCTGGGAATTATATGCAGCCTATCAGAAGAGAATTAAAAATAATTTTCACTAATATTTGATATTTACCTGGCAAGGGTGATACCAGGATCACAAAGGTAGTTTTCCCAGGGCAAGACTTATTCACTGCACTCCGGGTGTGTTGACCCCTGCAATTCCTCCAAACATGGGAAACTCGACTGCATAATTTGTAGTGGGGGGTGGGACGGGACTGTGTTTCTACTCTCTCCTGACCCTCCCCCACCAAAAAATTGGTATTTATTTTAAATTTATTAGCTTCCAAGATAATACTTCAAATACATAGGCCAAGCAATAAAAATAATGAGACAGACACACAGAAAATATTAGTTAACGTTGTGAATTGAAAGCCACGTTCCTGTTTAAAGCTCAGTACGCCATTTAAAGTTTGTTTTGGTGATGTAATGGCGCTAAACCTACATGGTATCTATCGATTTAATGATTTTTTTTTTCCCCTGCTGACATGCTTTAAAACATGTATGAGGCCCTACCACTGTCCTATTCCTGTGTACTCAGTAACTCATTTGTATGCAAATTCTCTAGTATGCAACTTACTCTTCGGTAAATGCTACCAGCAGACTGAGCCGCTCTGTAATTACGCTCCATCCCTCTCTGCCCTATTTGTTTCTTACTCTTTGGAGGCCGCAGTCCCAGCATCATGTTCCAGTCATGAATTACAGAGCGGCTCAGACAGCGATTTCTGTTATTGGTGATGGGCCAGCTGTACAGCCCTCCCTGAACGCGTTGCTCACCTGGCCCGGTTCTTCCTAGACTGCAGGTGTGGGATGTGTTCCTTCTTTCCTTTTGTTTGTTTCCGAAATCTGTTTTGTTTTTTTTTTAAACTAGACATCTTTTGGTTCTAACAAAGATAAGTTGTTCGACTAACTATCTTCGCCTCTTCCCGTTTCCTCCCTCAGTTTGATTTATGTGATGCTAAGATA